ATGTGCTCAGAAACACACACACGCACACACATTTTAAATAAAAGCCTACGAGAAACATGCTGTGTTTACTGTGCTCAGTTTCTTTCTTTGCATTTCTTCCTCTCCTCCTCCACCAATTTTGAGGAGAAAATATTATATATTTTAAAATATCCTTTCAGAAAAGGTTGCTCCTCTAGGAATACTCGGAAGACGGTAAAAACCACTGAAGAGGAACAGATAAGTCTGTCTGTGGAACGTTCAGACCTCTTTCTCTGAACAAAGCCTTCAGAAGAGAGATGGAGCTGCAATGGAGGCGTTACTCACCCATGTTCAGAGGCAATGGAAACCTCTTAGAATTACAGGATTGTAATATTTGGGAGCTGGAACGGACCTTAGAGAGCATCTAATCCACTCACTTCATTTTGCAGATGAATGAAGACATGACAGATGGAAAGTCTTGCCTAAAGTCACACACAGCTGACATCCAAATCAGCATTGTTTTCTAAAAATATCACATGGTGGCAAATGGAGCATAATTCTTGTGAGGCTGAAGGAGAATTCAATTCAAGCAACATTTATTAAGCACCTATTATGTACAAGGCACCTTACTAGATGCTACTGAAGACACAAAGATTGATGAGACAGTCCCTGCCTCCAAGTGCTCATGAAACTCCTATGAGGCCATGTTTTGATATCTTTCTTAGCAGAAAATAATACTGACTAGGGCTAAGGTTGCTGGTGATAACGAGGCAGCTGCTGCCCAGGAGAGGCAACTGACACTTTCGCCCCTTCTCTATCAGGGCTCGAGCCTGTTACACTGCTGCTGGAGCCCTCAGGACAGTCTCCTCACCTGCACCTCCAGTCACACCTCAAGTCATAGCCTACCCCACCCCCCAAGGGGTGACAGAGCTGGACAGGAGGGCAGCAGTACCCCAGACCCTCCCCTCAATTCTTAATCACTGTTTGCTTCCCCCTTGTGTCCAGCCTTAGGCTATCTGCAAGGGTCCTCACCATGTCCCAGGAAAATGCCCTACCACTCATATCACCGGTGTATAATACTCACCACCCCTATCAGCCACCTCTCCCGCCTCTATGTTGCAAGTAAAATAATTCCAGTCCTCTACGCCATACCCATGCTTCAATTCCCCATACTCGAAAAGATGTGAGAGATGTAATTGTTGGTCAGAAGAAAATACAACAGATTCAGGAGGCAGTGGAAAACATTAGTGAATAGATAATGAAAATGATCTCCCACTTTTGTATAGCCCTTTCCAGTATAGTGTTTTCATCCCATTATCTGATGATATTCTCAACACAACTCTGTGAGGTAGTTAGTGAAGATATTATTCCCATTATAATATAGCTGAAGAACCTTAGGCCTGAGAGACTAAGTGGCTTGCCCCAAAGTCACCCAGCTAAGAAAGTGTGGAGCCAAGTGTCCACGTTTCTTGACTCCAAATCCAGTGCTCTTCCCCCTATATAGTCTATAATTGTCAGGCAATTGAATGAATTGCCCATGATCATATACCTGCTAAGTGTTGGTGATGGGATTAGGAGTCAGTCACCAAATCTGTCAGTATGGTGCCTTTCCACCATACCAACTAGCAGAACCAATGTGCTCAGAATGACTATCATGGAAGATGTCAGAGAAAAGTCTAGCCTCCTTCACCCTCTCCCAAGTCAATGACGCATCACAAAACTGGGATAACCTCTGGTAATGTATGGCCTTCCTAGAATAGTACGCAGAGGCAGGTTACAAATTTAAACCTTGGAACTCCTCCTCCATCCATCTACTAAATGTTTAATCATTGCTGTTATGGGCACATGGGAAAGAGGTAAGCTGAGCAGAGCTTACTTCTGCCCTTAAGCAAATGAAAACCTTTAAGTTCCATCTTCCTTCCCCACATCACTCAGCCCCTCCACTTTACTAAACTCCTGAACCACAAAACAAGATCCAATCTGATGTAGAGTTGGGAGCAAGAAAACAATGAATACATCCATGATGTTCTGGGTACTTTTCTCTCTCCAGCTTGTTACTGGGAGGCCTGATCATGTGATTTTTCATCCAGAGGGCTCAGCCTGATGCTTCCAAGCATTCTCACACCTTTCTTTTGCATGTGGCTCAGTCCTTTAGCTTTGAGGTTGGCCTGGTGAGTGGCACGGATATTTGAAATTAGGAGCAGTAAGGGGAAACTGCTACTCCAAGGCAGAGCCAAAACATTTCCTCTTAGTTCTCCGCTCATTAAAATGAAAATAGCTATTATTGCATCGTGAGTGGAAGAGAGGAAGGAAGCTTCAGGATCATGACTTAAAACCCGACTCCAGAAACAGTTCCAAATGAGCATAGGTAACATACCACATACCACAGAACCCAGTATTCACAACTTACTGCCCCCTGCCCATTTTTGCTGATGCTATCAATACTTGAACTAAAGATGGTATCCACTTTGCAAAAAGGCACTCTACCCCCAAATCCAGAAATTATATCAATCCACAGTTCTTATACTTCTCCTATCTCCTTCACGGTGCCTAGGAGAGGGCTAAGTACATCATATCCACAAAAAAATAAATATCTGCAAACTCTCATAAATTTAAAGGGCTCTCTTACATTTAAAGCACGCAGACACTTAACACCAGTTTCAAGTGTGAGTGTCTGAAATGTTCTCACGGCAGTTATTCAGAGCACACTGGTTTCTCTGACGCTGGTGCCCTGCCAGGGGCCACATTTCTGTCTGGAAGAGAAGCAGCTGTTCTCTTTGGTTTGGTGCACCAGGCTTCCCTTAGGGAAATTGTTCTGAGGAGTATAGGCATTGGGATGACTTCTGAATTTTTAAATGGAGATGGGCTTTTATTGTAAGATGAACTGCATGCTCTACGATGGGTGAGTTCCATGTGCCCCTCCAGGTTAGTGATTCTCTATCTAACCTAGGCCTGCAGCAACTCTGAGAGGGGTACGGGAAGAGGGACTGCGAGACTCCCTTCAATCAGTTGTCCAGCTTTAGTCAAATACCTCCTTACAGTATTTGGTGATCTTTATGTACAAAATATTTATATACAACATGCCCTACATAGATGGCAGGAAGGGCCTTAAACATGTTGATGAAGATGAAAACACTTCTCCTTATACACTTTAGGCAGATGGAGAGATTTGGTGCTGGAACAATGAAAAGATTTCCAGGCTTCTAATATTTATTCCCTAAGAGCTATCTTCTATATACTCTGTGAAATTTGGTGGTTGGTTACCAATGCCACAAACTCCAGGGAGTGATCTCACATTTAACCTGGGCCTGCAGCAACTCTAGAACGGACAAGGGAAATGGAGCTGGGGAGATAGCATCTCCCTTCAATCAGTTGTCCAGATGTAGCCAAATACCTCTTTATTTAGATATTTGGCAAGACACACACACATACACACTTATTTACATTATGCCCTACCAAGATGAAAGGAAGGGATTTAATCATGCTGATGAGGATAAAATAGCCTCTATTATACACTTCAGGCAGATGGGGAGATGTAGTGTTGGACTAATTATATGATCTCTAGACTTCCAAAATTTACCTCTTAAAAGTCATCTTCCACATACGCTGTGATGGGTGTTGGTGATATGAGCCTGCGAGTCCAGGCGAGTGATTGCACACTTAGCGTGGACCTGTACAAGTCTAACGGGGAAAGGAGATGGTCTGGGGAGAGAAGATCTCCCTTCAATCCGTTGTACAGATGTTGCCAAATATCTCGACATAGTATTTGGCAAAATGCATACACATAAAAATATTTTATGTACATTATGCCCCACCATGATGGATGGTAAAGGATTAGTCATGCTCACGATCCTGAAAGAGCTTCCACTTACACGTTTTGGGCAGATGGGGAAATTAAGTCCTAGGCTAATTAAATGATTTATAGGCTCCCAAAAATGTAAGTTGGTCTCCTAATAGTTATCTTTAATATATGAATACTCGTGGGGCCGGCCCGGTGGTGCAAGCGGTTAAGTGCGCGCGCTCCGCTGCGGCGGCC